TCACGCATGTCTAAAGTCCGTCTGAAGGAGTCCAAATGTACCGTAGCGAAAAGGGGAGGCTGTTGTTCCAGGGCCCAGCAGCGGTGTGGTTCTGCTGGTCAAGCCCCGAGTTTGACTGAGCTTCCAGCGGCCAAAGCTAAAGGGGACCCACAGTGGGTTTCTAATGTGCTAGTTGTTTGGTCAGAGGCAAATGAACAACTCAGCATGGGAAATAACCTTTCCCCGCAGGGGATTAAGAGAGGGAAGGGCAAGGAGTTTGAATATTCTAATGGACAGTGTCTCCAGAGGTTAAAAAAATACCTTGGCGCGACCCTTTTCTTTTATTGTCTTTAATAAATGTGTTTCTCCAATGACTTTGACCAACACTGGGCAGGGACCCAGCTTTCTCATCACCTGGCCTGATGAGGCGTACGAGCAGGAGGAGGCAGGGCTACTGGGTCACTTGGAGCTCCTGTTTGAAAATTTTCTAGTTAATTCTTTTGTTTTCCTGCTTTTTGAGGTAGGATCTCACTGTGTAGCCCAAGCTAGCCTGGAACTCTGGATCCCCCTGCCTCATGGGTGCTAAGATTATTAGCATGGACTGGCATTCCTGGCCTCCAGTAAATTCTTGAGATCCGTAGTTTATGTCATGTGGATGGACGATTTATTCATTCATTAATTTATTCATTCATTCAATGCACACTTGCGGGGAGGCTGTAGGGAGGCCCTGCGTTCTGAAAGGAGTGAGACAAATAGCTGCTATAGATGTAGGTGTTATGACAGAGTCATGCAAGAAGCCACAGAGTGAGGAAGCCAAGGAGTGATGTTGTCGTTGGCCGGTACAGAACCAGGGTTGGATTCACCAAGGAGGTCAGCTTTCAGCCGGGTCTTAGGGACAATGTAGAAGCTCTTTTCATACGGAGATGGCCCTCCAGACAGAGACAGATAGGAGCCTGGAATGTTGGAAGCCCAGCCGGTGGAAGCCCTGGAGATGGGAGAGAACACAGTAGCCCTTGAACATCACAGGCAGCTCCGAGGAGAGACTGGAGGAACAACTGAGCACCCCCATAAAAAATAGCAGCCTGCTCCTAGAGCGGAGGAAGAATTGTCAAATCCCAGCAGCAGCACTGGGCTCCTGCTGGGTGGAGACAGAGCTGCTAAAGCCTCCTTTGTGAGAGCCATTGCCCACAAGCCTGAACTCCTCAGTGAGGTTCTTTCTCTTGCCCTCCTGAAAGCCGACCCGGTGCTTTAGTGACTGGCACAGTGAGCCTTCGCTGCGTGCCGAAAGTACCTAGTCTTGCGAACCCAACAGTTTGGAGCGACTCTGTGCACGCTGTCTGACACAGAACAAAATCAATTATTGGTTTCCACCTGGAAATTTAAATACATGAAGAAACAGGAAATCCCCATCAGCCACACTTTTGCAAATGGCTCTGTCTCCTAGGGGGCAACCTAAGCTTTCCCTATAGCCTCAGCTGCCAGCCATGGCTGCAGATAGAGTCCTGGAGACTGTGGCCAGGGAAGGTGAGGGCTGTGCTGACACTTGACTGGAGTGCTGAGGGCCTGGAGGAGCTGCTCGTTACTTAGCTTTGTTTCCATGGAAGAGATCCATGGTAGTCCAGTTCCAGCTGGCCTACCTTCGCATCCACTGCCTCAGCCAGTGCCCCATTCCCATCTGACTCCCTCCTTCCCTTCACCTCTCAGCTCTGCTCAATTGTTCCAACTCAAGGGACAGAGCTCGTTCAGCCCACCTCCAGAAACCCTTGCTGACCTACAAGAATGACTGGCCAGGTGCTTTCCTCTATCTAGGATGGGCTTTCTGGGGTGCTGCATCTTTCTCCGGGAGCTTGTGGAGGAGATCTTCTGTCTCACGCACCCGCATGCACGCAACAGGGCCCAGCATAGGTGAAGCAAACAGACACTCACTGTGCTCAGGTGCCACGCACTGCGCCCCCGTGTCTGTGCTCTGTGCGCTAGAACCCAGTTCGCGAGCTTCGGACAAGGGGCTGGAGGTTGCGAATATTCACACAGAGACAGACTGACACACGGACCTCCAAACACTGGTTCAGAAAACCCCTTCTATTAACACCATGTAGGCTTAACTACACTGCAGTCAATGGCCAACAGGTGATAATCCCATCCTCTGATCCTCTAAACTGGCACAGTTTCTAGTAATTTTAATTAGAAGGTTCTAGGAGGGAAGAGCAGCTGAAGGCCAGGACTCATTAATCCCCAAACACTCAGGCATCCAGGGAGAAACAGGAAGAGGAACTAGGACCCATGTCCAGGCATCCAGTAACTCTAGATGGTACCACCTCAAAAGAGACTCCCCCTAGAGGCATGGCAGTGCACTGCAGGAGGTAGCTGCCTCCGGGGAGCTTTTATCTCAGAAGCATTCTAGGGCGTGAGCCGCAGTTCTGTCCTACAGGGAGGGAATCTGGACAGCGACCTTTCCCCAACAGCTCGCTGCTGCCTGGAATGCAGAAATGCTCTTCAAATGCTGCTGTTTCTAACTCGCAGCAGGAAACGGATTTTCCTCTCTGCCCACTCATATGTGAACCACGATTTACAAAATAGGGCTTAACTTTTCTAGGTGTGAAAGCCTTGGTCTCTGTTCTGTGCCTTCTAATTCTGCTCCCCGTGAGCTGGGGATATAGCTCAGCCAGTAGAGCGCCTACCCGGCATGCGTGAAGCTCTGAGTTCAATCCCCAGCACGGCAGGAAATTGAGTGTTATGATCCATGCTCGCTGTCCTGACCCTGGGGAGCTGACTGTAGGAGGATCAGAAGTTCAAGGTCATTTTCAGCTACAAAGTAAGTTTAGGGTTAGCCTAGGCTACGTGAAACCCTTTTTCAAAACCACCCCCAAATAGCATCAAGAACCAGCTAAAAGAAAATAAAACAAAGAAACTCAGCTTTAAATAGTTGGAACCAACGGTGTGATTTCATCACTGTTACGGGTTGGGCCTCACAGTTAGAGAATCTTTAGGGTAGCTGTCAAGATGCTGGAGCGAGAGGGACCCATGTTTGCATCCTGGGCCCGAGGTGCTGTTCGGCTTTAAGTTCATCATGTTTCTTCTAGAATCGATGTCTCAAGCTTTTGCATTGAGACGTGGAATAACACAGCCCCCTTCATGGGCGGAGCTTGGCTCGAGATGGAAGTCAGAGGTGAAGTCCCTGACACAGTGTTCTCTGGAAGCTGGGAAGGGCTGCTGAGCAGCTTTACTGCCACCTGAGGCTGAGGGCTGCAGTGGAGCCGAGAGGGACCGCAGGCCCTAGCGTCCTGAGGTCTGGCCCATTGAGGGCAGTCTGGGGCTTGTCAATCATCTTCCAGAAGAGGCTGATTTCAAAAACATGTAGCAAAGAATCCCTAGGCCTATAGCAGGCCCAGCTACTCCAAGGAGAAGCCAGGCTGGGGCCCGGGTCTACCTGCACCAGGGACCACTAGAAATCTGCAGTAATTAACATGGTGTGTTATTGGCACCGGGAGAGATAAATAGACCAATGAAACAGGATCCAGGCTGGAAAGCCATCTGTGTACACACGGAACCTTGATATATAGGTAAGGAGATGTACAAATCAGCAGGAAGAGATGGACTCTTTAATAACCAGCAATGGGCAACCGGTTATCCATTCAGAAATGGGGAGAAGGGAAAGATTAGATCTTTATACCAGACACAAAAATCAATCCCAGGTGGATTAGAGACCTAAATGCAAAAGGCAAAGGCACCTGATGGGGCCAGCTTCAGGTCTTGCCCAAACTCCCGAGGCACAAACATGGCCTCATGGGATGGAGTATGAAGCCTTGGGGAGGGGCACAGGGATGCTCATACAGAGTGACCTGTCACAGTGAAGACAGGAGTCGGCCTTGGCTATCTTCCCATCCCACCTCAGTGCCTTCTCCTCCTCTGGAAGGTCTTCTTCTGGGGACCATTCCTCAGGGGACACGTGTCCCGCTCCACCCGCTGGCCCTGCCAAGCGGTGCCGCAGAAATAGCAACCATCACTTTCCCAAGTACATGAGGAACTCCAAGTCACAGGCTCTCAGCCTCCTCACCCACCTACTACTGTCCCTGCCTGCCAAGTATGTCACCTTGAACAGACAGGACGTGACCGCCGTTAGCAAGGCCAGGCTCCAGAGAAGCCCCCGGCCAAAACTCGGTACACACAACCGAAACCTTTGTCTTTCAATGTTTGTAGTGGGATTTGGAAGGGGCGCGAAGACATGTCGTGTATGGTTATAATGTCATCTTTCTTTGAGTGGGAAGGTCCAGGCTGGTATTTTTTTCTGCCTTCCCTGGAAGCCATTCTGCAACGGCTTCAATGTCAAGGAAATGGCTCATCACAGGCTTAGATTTCATGAGTGACTTAAGAAAATGGACATGATTCGCTGCCAACACATTTGGTTGTCGTGGGTTTGATAAACTTGACGTCTGTGCCTGGAATGTTTAGCACACAAGTGTTCATCGGCTTCCAGAATCCAAAAGTCACTCGTCAAACTGTGACTCGGTTGGCTCTATGTGCTGTTAGGGCTGGGAACATCAGCTAGCCCCTGGATCGGGATTCTCTCTGATCTTCTAAGGACCCAGTCCTCTTTCTCTTGGACTCCAGTTTGTCCATCTGTGAAATGGGTCTGGATTGGGTGATTCCTCAAACTCCTTTTTAACACTTGTTTCTGGGGTCCCACCCTATTGTCTGAGAGCCCCTGAACCAGAAACCAGGCTGCCCCTGCCGTTGGCAAGTAGACTCTTACTTCTGCCTTGCTTGCTTTGACGCCCTCCCTGGCCTCTGGGGCTGAGCCGGGGTATCTGTCGGTTAGATCTGACGTCTTGTGATGCTGTGTGAACTCCTGCCCATCTTTCCACCTGGGAACAGTGGTCGGTTCTGGAGACATGTACTGCTCCGTTGAGCTGCATCTGCCCTTTCCGCCTGGGTTTCCCGGAACCTCTGTGGACAGATCATGGCCTTGCATCTGATCAGGGTGCCTCTAGGCTACATGCTGAGATGTCTGCTTCCTCTTTCAGACCACAGAGTATTCAGCCATGGCCTCACTGGCCGGAGGCCTGGACGACATGAAAGCTAACTTGACAAGCCCCACCCCTGCTGACATCGGAAGCAGCGTGCCAGGCCCGCAGTCCTACCCCATTGTTACAGGTGAGCATACCTGGATGGGAATTTAGGGGGGAAAGAAGAAGACGAGGGAAGGAGAGAGGGAGGGAGGGAGGGAGGGAGGGGAAGAGAGGGAGAGAGAGAGAGAGAGAGAGAGAGAGAGAGAGAGAGAGAGAGAGAGAATGTGAGGTTGGAAGTTGTTCTTTGTGCTTTTGGATATGACTGGCCTCTGCTTTAATGAGGTTAGAAGGTCCCAGCTCGGGTCAGGTGGCAGACTGCTGGGACACATGGGACACAGGTTGTGGCTGAAATGCAATATGACTGCGCACTGCTTCGCAAAACTAGAGGAGACTGAGAGAGGCAGGGACTGCAGTCAGAGGGGCCCTGTGGTGGCGCCAGGCACGCAGAGGTCTGGGATTTCTTCCTTTCGCGAGCCAGGAAATTCTGTGGTTGGCATCACCTTCCAGGAGAAGAGGGACTCTGTGAGTCACCACTGGTGCTTCAGATTTCCAGTCTGAGGCTGCGCACAGAAGGGCTAGGAGGGGCTGGGTCCGTGCCAAGCAGCTGGCTTTTCTGGCAGCCTCCATTATCACCATCAGAGTGAAAGTTAAGAGTAGGGGCCTCAGGCTGGTGGTGCCGCTCAGCCAGGGCTCTGCCCAGCATGTGCAGGGCCTGAGTTCTGTCCCTAGTGCAGGCCTTCACCCTCTGCAGGGTTCCAACCTGTCCTGTGCCAACTATCTTGGGTGAGCTGTACCAGAAGTCCAGCTGTGGTCTTCCAATCTGTATGCTGGGAACAGTGACAATGGCTGTAGTATGGGACTCTTGTGAGGATGACCAGGTCCCCACGCACGAGGCACTTGGATTCTTGCCCAGCACAAAGTAATTAGCCAGCAAGTGTGTCTGCTGTGACTCCCCGGAGCCCTCTCATGCTGGTCACTATAGGACTCGCTACTGTGGGAGATTCCCTTCTCCAGCCCAGTACTGTGGAGCCCTGGAATGGTCACTACAGCCAGCTCTGGGAGGGTCTCTCACCCAGGAGGCAGGAGGGTCTCCGGATTATGAAACAGACAGATAGTAGGGGCTGGCAGGCTATACTTGGGCTGGAACTTGGGATCCAACCAGAGATGGCAAGATGTCCTCATTGACTGATGGTCCTAACCTGAAAGTAGCGACAGAACCAAGAAATTCTCATGTATTTGAAGCAGAAGGATGAACGAGGCAAATCTAAGGCCCAAGGGTCCCTTAGTGACGAGAAAAGAGATCTGTCTCTGAGACCTAACAACCAAATCAGCTCTGGGGCTCAGGGTAAAAACAACCAAGCCCTGTGTGCAGGTCTGGGTACCACATGAGCGTTGGGCAGAGAAAGAATGACTTGGTACTCGGTTTAGCTAAGCTGGGGAACAGCCTGAAGCCAGTTGAGCTTCAGAGAGGAGGTGAACAGAAGGGATGCCAGCCAGGGAGCTGCAGATGGGTGAGGTGTTTCCCGAGGACCCCTGCCGGGGTTCACTAGGGACCTCCATGACAATAGCTGTTATACAGGGGCAGAAACCAAGCTCAAATGTGCCCACTGTATGGAGTAAGAAACTGAGTTACAGCCACCCTAGCCGCCTAGGAAACTGTACTGCAGAGGAAAAGTTTGGGGCAGGATTTAAGAAGTGGGTTTGGGCGCATGCTTATTTAGCTGGTTAATAGTCCAGTGAACACTGAGGCTAAGATTCTTGTCTGTGGGAACGAGATGCATGCTTGCTAGCTAAGGCTAATCTAGCCTTCAGATAATTCTAATTGGGCCTCATGGGGCTTTCAGAAAATTTGAGCCAAGACTTAAAAAAAAAAAAGTCTTCTGATTTTTCAAAATATTAGAAGATCTGGCACCATTGGGTCGTAGTCCCTTGGACCATGGCAGGTTGGGGCTCAGTGGCAGCAGATCCCCAAACAGGCCTCCATGGTTCCCAGTCAAAGGCCACCACATTCACGTTAGAAACCATGCATAGAAAGGAGTTTGTATTATACTTGGATCCGCAGAGTTGCAGTTGAAAAGGCCAGCAGCATGCTACAGGGGCTCCCAGACCTGCAGAAGGCTGCGGGGGGACCAGGAGTAAGATACATGGATTGGTTTTCAGAACCCTGGACCAGACATTAGTTTGTATTTATTTGAATTTCTTCATTTTTAAAGTCACATTATAGCACAGAAACGGAGTATAAACATCTCTGACCAAAATTAGGGCTATGCTTAGTTTTGATATGTCAGGGGCCTTCTAGAACGGGGCATGGGAGGGTACACCTATGGTATCCAGCACTCAGGAGGCTGAGCTGGAAGATCAGGAATTGGAGGCCAGCCTGGGCTGCATAGTAAGACCTAACTTCAAAACACAAAAGCAAACATACAAAATGGAAGGCATATTCCGATTATCAGCATAATCATTAGCTTTCTTATAAAGAAGTAATATTTAGCAAAATAGGAGAACAAACCCTTCAACAACAATATATATGATCCCAGAGAATAAATTTAGCTTTAGAACCACAGTGACAGAACAGAACAATGAAGAGATGCTTCTTTCTAGACTGACTGTCAGAAAGGCGTCCACTCCCAAGTCACCGCTTACCGTAAAGCAACCCCAAGGAAAGCACAATAGACTTTAAGGAAAATCGTCAAAATTGTGCTAAATGCTGGCTAAATAAACACTGCAGGGTAGCTAGAAATGTTCTGAAGTAAAGAAATAAGTAGGGCATTCCAAAACATATGGCAAGGTAACAAGGGGCCAGTAAGATCAGTCAGTGGGTAAAGTGCTTGCTGTCCAACACACACGCATACACACACACACACACATACACACACACACACGCATACACATATGCAAACACACACGCATACAAACACACAACCCACAACCAACCAACCAAAAATAATGAATGTAATAAAATTTTAAATAAGAACAAAAATGTGTGATAATTCTATAGTACCTAAACCTATTGTAGAAGTTAAGGTTTCAAACACATGGGCTGGGCTGGACAGCGCAGAAACAGGTCCAAATCTATGTGGCCAGATCCCCATTTCACTGTCTCCATGGGAACAAATGGGTTGAGTTAACAGATATGCTAACTAGCCAGATTTAGTTATGACACCTTGTGCTGTTTGTATATCAAAACATCACAGTGTACCCCTAAACATGTGTATTTATGTATCATTTATAACAAATTCCAGTTAGTCAAAACTTTTTAAAAAAGTCATAATAAACTAGTACAAAAAATCTTAGAGAAGATTATAATCTTAGTGTAGAAAAGGCCTTTAAAAATGTTTCAAATGCAAATGATTGAAAAATGTTAAAAGCCTTTCATATGTAAAAACATGCAAAGACAAAAATAAAAACTATGGTAGGGAATGTAATGCAGATGATAAAAGTTAGTTTGTTTAATATGTAAAGAACTTTTGTGTACACAAAAAATATTGCTAAGCACCATTTTTATATGTTTGTGTGTGTGCCTGCTTATTTGTATGTGCACCATATGTGTGCAGGTGCCCAAATAGGGCACCAGGGCCCCTGAAACTAAAGTGACTGGTTTTTGTGAGCAGCCTGGTGTGGGCTCTGAGAACCAAATCTGGGTTCTCTAAGAGTAACAGTCCCCTTAACTGTGGAGCCATCTCTCTAGCCTCTGTAAAAAGGGTTTTTAAAAACAAATAAGGCCGGGCAGTGATGGTATACGCTGTATGCCTTTAATCCCAGCACTTGGGAGGCAGAGGCAGGTGGATCTCTGTGAGTTCGAGGTTAGCCCAGCTCTACAGAATGAATTCCAGGACAGGTTCCAAAGCTACAGAGAAACCCTGTCTCAAAAGAAACAAAAATAAAACGAACAAACAAATACATAAAAACAAATAAGAAGGGGGCGGGAGAGATGACTCAGCAATTAAGAGCACACTCTGCTCTTGCAGAGGACCCGACTTCCAATCCCAGCACTAGTGTACACATACCCTACACACATACTGATGTACACACATAATTAAAAATAACAAAAATAAACATTTTCAAAATTAATAAAAATAACCTGTAAAGAAACTAGGCAGCGGATGGGTAGTTTATTGGCAAAAGCACAGTGCCTCCAGAGTGTGTAGGGAGATGAACACCTGCCCTGATGTCTAAAGCTGCAAGTTAAAACAGCCAAGAGATGCTGGATACCAATAGCTCTGGGTTAAGGCTTGGTGTCGGAAAGGGAATAAGGGAAGGTATTTTCATATATTTCTATAGGAACATAAATAGATGTAATTCCTTTTAGAGGAAAACTTGGCAATGTCTATCAAAGTTTTAAGTACATTTGAGTACCCTCTGACTCAGAAGTTTTCAGTTCCCTTTAAAGAACTCCTTCTCCAGACCTGCAACGATGGCTTTGCCTGTCATATATAACGGCAAATAAATAGAACCAAAGCAGACTCTGCAATAGAAACTGGCTGAGTAGATTATGGTGCTTTCACACCGCGCAGTATTGTGCCACCCTGAAAAGATAGACAAGGGGCTGGAGAGATGGTTGGTGATTAAGAGTGCTCGAGTCCTCCCAGAAGACCTAGGATCTCTTCTCGGCATCCATATCAGGAGCTTACAGCCTCCAAAAACTGAAACTGCGGCTCAGGGGACCTATCTCTCACCTCAACACACACACACACACACACACACACACACACACACACACACACACACACGAAGAGCTAGGGGCCCAAGAAATGGCTCAGTGGTTAAGAGCATTGCTGCCCTTGCAGAGGACGCAGGTTTGGGTCCCAGCACCCATCAGAGGGCTCACACCTGCCGGAAACTCCAGCGCCCTCTTCTGGGCTCCACGCAGGCACCTGCATGAACATGGTACACGTAGAGTCAAACGGGTGCACACAAGTGATAATAAATGTTTTTCAAAGGAGAGCTATCTGCACCAACGTGAATGTCTAAGGCATACATTTGATTAAAAAACAAATTGTAGAGGAATAAAGTATGAGCCCATATGTAAAATACAATACAGCATTTTTAAAGATGCAAAACATAACACAGCTAAAAACTATCGTA